AATAATAATGGACGGCATTTTGAACAATTACTGTAATAAACTTTATTTTGAATTAATTGGTTTTGCTACGGAATTGGTGCCAATCGTTTTTGGTCATTACATACTATTCCCCATTTTAATATGTACGTGTATTTCAATAACACCCTGTATAAATGTGAAAGTTTGGATGGATGTATGGATGTATGGATGTTTGTTGCTCAATCAAATTAGGGGGTTATGATTGACAACCTCTGTTATTTTTAACAGGTCTGTTAATTTATAAACACATAGAAATTACAATCTGTTCACAAATAACGAGTCTGTCTAAAATAACATTATTTGTCAATCATAACCCCTATACACTATAGCCTGGAATAGCACATAGGCTACTTTTTATCCCGAAAAAATGTACGGTTCCCGTGGGATAGATTTGTTTTTGTTTTTCACAGAGCAAGTGATCGGACATAATTTTTTGCATAGTGGTAATGAAGCATGAAAATTTGAAATACCTACTGAGCATAAATAAATAATGACGTGTTTTGGGGGTTTTGGTTTTTAACATTTTAAGGGGGGGACGGGGGTTAAAAGTTTGCATGGAAGCATCGTTTTTTTATAGGTAGGAACTTGAAAATTGGAATTATAGCTATTCATCACAAATAAATAATAGTGTGTTTCAGGTTTTTGGATGTTCATATTTTAAGAGGGGAAATAGGGAAAATGGAGGTAAGAGGGGAAATGAAGAAAAGAAGGAAAATGGGGGAAACTGGGGAAATGGCGAAATGGAGAAAATGTGTGTGGAGTAAAAGTGTATATGGTAGGAACTTGAAAAATGGTATTAACGGTACTCTTCATAAATAAATAGAAATGTTTCAAAGTATTTGGATTTTACAAATTAAGGGAGGAAACGGAAGGTGAAAGTTTCAATAAGGCTTTCGGTTTTTTAATTGTAGAAATTTTAAAATTGGAATTGTAGCAACTCATCATAAGTAAATAATGACATATTTCAAGGTTTTTGAATTTTCACATTTTAAGGAGGAAAGAAAATGAGGCATATGGTAAAAAATAAAAAAAAACCCAAAAAAAATAAATAAAAACAAAGAAAAAAAAATAAAAATAATTATAGCTACTCATCACAAATAAATAATGGTGTGTTTCAGGTTTTTGGATTTTCATATTTTAAGAGGGGAAAGAGGCAAAATGGGAGTAAGAGGGGAAATAAGGTAAATAAGGAAAACGGGGGAAAGTGGGGAAATGGGGGGAAATGTGTGGGGTGTGAAACTTGAAACTTGGAATTGTAGGTACTCTTCACAAATAAATTAAACATGTTTCAAAGTAATTTGGATTTTACATATTAAGGGAGGAAACGGAAGGTAAAAGTTTGAATGAGACTGTTGGGTTTTTAATTGTAGCAATTCGAAAATTTGAATTGTAGTTCTCACCATAAGTAAATAATGACGTATTTCAAAGTTTTTGGATTTTCACATTTTAAGGAGGAAGGAAAAAGGGGAGTATCGTAAAAATAAAAAAAAAAACAAAAAAAAAATAAAAATAAATACAAATAAATAAAAAAAAATAAAAATAAATAAAAATAAAGAAAAATAAATAAAAATAAATAAAAATAAATAAAAATAAACAAAAATAAATAAAAATAAATAAAAATAAATAAAAATAAATAAAAATAAATAAAAATAAATAAAAAATAAATAAAAATAAATAAAAATAAATAAAAATAAATAAAAATAAATAAAAATAAATAAAAATAAATAAAAATAAATAAAAATAAATAAAAATAAATAAAAATAAATAAAAATAAATAAAAATTATTAAAAATTAATAAAAATTAATAAAAATAAATAAAAATTAAATAAAAATTAATAAAAATTAATAAAAATTATAAAAATTAATAAAAATTAATAAAAATTAATAAAAATTAATAAAAATCAATAAAAATAATAAAAATTAATAAAAATTAATAAAAAATTAATAAAAATTAATAAAAATTAATAAAAATTAATAAAAATTAATAAAAATTAATAAAAAATTAATAAAAATTAATAAAAATTAATAAAAATTAATAAAAATTAATAAAAATTAATAAAAATTAATAAAAATTAATAAAAATTAATAAAAATTAATAAAAATTAATAAAATTTAATAAAAATTAATAAAAAATTAATAAAAATTAATAAAAATTAATAAAAATTAATAAAAAATTAATAAAAATTAATAAAAATTAATAAAAATTAATAAAAATTAATAAAAATTAATAAAAAATTAATAAAAATTAATAAAAATTAATAAAAAATTAATAAAAATTAATAAAAATTAATAAAAATTAATAAAAATTAATAAAAATTAATAAAAAATTAATAAAAATTAATAAAAATTAATAAAAATTAATAAAAATTAATAAAAAATTAATAAAAATTAAATTAAAAAATTAATAAAAATTAATAAAAATTAATAAAAAATTAATAAAAATTAATAAAAATTAATAAAAATTAATAAAAAATTAATAAAAATTAATAAAAATTAATAAAAATTAATAAAAATTAATAAAAATTAATAAAAATTAATAAAAAATTAATAAAAATAATAAAAATTAATAAAAATTAATAAAAATTAATAAAAATTAATAAAAATTAATAAAAATTAATAAAAATTAATAAAAATTAATAAAAATTAATAAAAATTAATAAAAATTAATAAAAATTAATAAAAATTAATAAAAACTTAATAAAAATTAATAAAAATTAATAAAAATTAATAAAAATTAATAAAAATTAATAAAAATTAATAAAAAATTAATAAAAATTAATAAAAATTAATAAAAATTAATAAAAATTAATAAAAATTAATAAAAATTAATAAAAAATTAATAAAAATTAATAAAAAATTAATAAAAATTAATAAAAATTAATAAAAAATTAATAAAAATTAATAAAAATTAATAAAAATTAATAAAAATTAATAAAAATTAATAAAAATTAATAAAAATTAATAAAAATTAATAAAAATTAATAAAAATTAATAAAAATTAATAAAAATTAATAAAAATTAATAAAAATTAATAAAAAATTAATAAAAAATTAATAAAAATTAATAAAAATTAATAAAAATTAATAAAAATTAATAAAAATTAATAAAAAATTAATAAAAATTAATAAAAATTAATAAAAATTAATAAAAATCAATGACAATTTATTAAACAACAAATTACCATTTGAACCAATTTTAAACAATATACTTAAATTCGAAAAAATATGCAAATTAAACATGTGAACATAAAAATTCAAAAAACACAGTGGCCCACAGAATGTGCGGACAAGATATTGACAATGTCCTATTAAAAGGAACATTTTTGTTAGAATTAATCAATAAGTGTAGTGTTTGAATAGGTAAAATAGTTTTACGTAGCAATGAACTGCCAAAAAGTGAATTTAAAATAACAAAACTTCCTAAAGTTAATATTAAAAACTCTAATGATAAAAATCCTATTTACCTTAAACCCATAAAATTGAACAGTATTGATTTGGAACAATTAACCACTCTAAAAGAATCTCTAAATTTTCAAAAACAAAAAGTAAAACATATTTTTGATAATCCAATCCATTTTAACAATATCAATGTTTGGACTATATTGATTTATATTTTTATTGCATTTTTCTTATTATTTTGCATTTATTCATATAGAAAATATAGGAAGAATTCATCGAAGAAGAGCTCCAAGGAAGAAAATCTAGAGGCCAGCCCCCGGATTCTCCTCTAAGCGTGGAAGAGTTTTGATAACAAAATCATTGAAAACTCAAGTAGAATTATGCAGACGTGGCAAGTCCAAGATAAGGCCCCACCAAGATCTAGCGGCAACAAAAATAGTTCGTTGTTGGCATTTTCTAGCTTTTACATTTTAACTTTTGTATTATTAAGACCTAAAATAAAGTTCCGCTTTTTTGTTAAGTTTTTGATATTTTTTTTAAAAAACCGAATTTTATTAGCGAACCTAAAAGTAGAGTGGAAATTTATACCATCATTTACGAATACATATTGTAATTTCAAGTATTTCGTATTTTTGGAAAAATACGCCACTGTTACATCTGTTTGAATTTCAGCTCCCGTTTTGCCGGTAAAATTCGTTTAATCGTCGCAATCGGGCAACCATTTTAGTTTTGTTAAAAGTTGTAAACGAGGCTTTTCGAGAAATTGAAAGAAAACAATCGCCCGGAGTTAAAATTGAAAGGAGCAATTACCATTATTCCGGAAGATGCTGCCGATGTCGCTGCTTCTTTGTTTTTACGCACTTAGCTGCGAGTCTAGTTTTATTCGGAGATAAGGCAACGAGAGAAAAAATCCCGTAGCTAATCTAGAAAGTAAAGAAGTTCCGGAATGAAAGATAAACGTTAAATGTAGAGCAGATGCTTTACATAAAGAGAAAAAAGCTTATTTTGATTATTTTAAGTACGAAGAATTCATCGTATACTTGATGTTTAAATACTACTCGAGTTTTTAAAATAAGGAAAGACGTAGAATTATATTTTAGATAAAGATAAATTTTTAATTTTTACCATTTGAAATACATTATTTAAAACAACTTAACAGAGAAACAGCGTTGGACATACAGATTTCCAGTGATGTATAAGTAATCTAATCAAAAGAGTTTTGAAAAAAATTAGTTGTGTTAAAAAAATTAATTTATTTGCTCAGCTTACTCAAATACAAGTCATTTCTGAAGATAAATCGAACCTTTTTGATAAACCTTGGATGAATATTATATATGAAAATAATATGGACGTAAAAATAAATTTATTAAAGTACTTTTTAATGCTATTATTTAATAAATATTCTATGTGTGAGGTAAGAGTTACTAAACCACCAGCACCTTGGCTTACTCCCAACCTAAAACATATTATTAATGAATGGGATAAGGTACGCTTTACACCAGGATACTCATGGGTCTGTCGCGCTTGCGGAACTTTAGCCGATGTGAGTAAGAGGCGATCGCAGAGGAAGACTTTGATGAAAATATGCACAAATTAGACCAAACTTCACCAACACCTACCTTACGCATTCTTACTTCCATTCAGAGAGATATGTCACCTTTAAACGAAAAATGTGGAAATTTATTACAATCTGTCAATTTCTGCAGCGATTGTGTTAGTGATTTCGAAAAAACAATATCAATTCTCAATAAAATAGTTATAGATATCGAAAAGTTAACCAAGGATAATCTTGATCTGAAGAAAGAGGTAGAAAACCTCAACTCTCGAGTTGATGCGTTAGAGCAACAACTAAGATCTAACAACGCTGAAATACATAGAATATCAGTCAAAAATAACGAAGATATTGTCAACATAGCATTGGAAATTGGAATTGCTGTTGATTATCCTACCACTGAAGCTAATATCGACTCTTTTTATAAAGCATCGACCAATGATGTAAGTAGACCAAAATCTATAATATAAAAATTTAAAAATAAATCAACAAAAGATGATTTTTAGCTGCAGCAAAAACTAATAATAATTTCAATGTCATATTCGAGAAACTGGCCTGGTCCTAAAACGGCTGTTGACTGGCCTGCAGAGGCTACTTCAATTAATGGGTCTTCTCTTATCTTTTTTAAGTTTTTTGCCTGACCAAATTTTCCATAGCTCCATTTTTGTATTAAAAAGGAGTTTACTTGTAAAAAGTCATCTTCGTTACTCTTTACGATCAAAAACCGGGGTTCAACCACCGTTTTCTGATTCGCATTATTTGTTTGGTGCGTGTTTTTACCGATTACTACAATTTTAGCACCAGCAACTGTAGGTGGTTTTAGAATATTTTCTTCGGATTCCATATGATTCCCACGAGTCTGAAAGAAACAAAAGTCCACCGTGGCAATTCTCCGTACCCCGGCAAGGTCTTACCTACAACTGGATGCGACCCGATGGCCAGAGGGAATCGTTTGCGTCTAACTACGTATATACATGCATCCATAGGCACGATGTCTTATACCTTAGATTACGGATTTTTAAACAGGTTTACTCCTACTGAGCTGTCATTGGCCTCCTTAGTCATCCTTAACCTTACCGGCATGGGTGGACCTACCAGGGGTATAAACTCCCGCCGACATCGCTCTTGGAATTGTAGGCACTGAGTCCCTTCATGAACGGCAAGGTATCACAATTTTTTAAATGGTAATTATTATTAATAATAACATTGTTATTATTATTATTTCTTATTTATTTGCATGATTTAATAGGAACCGTATTGGCAGCAATTTAATTTCTGTTAACATGACATAAAGATTACAAATCGCAGTCCGTTACTTTTTTTATGAAGGTATGTGGGATTTTCCGAGTTTTCTTTTCTTGTAAGTTCAATAGCATTATCAATCATCTATAAGTTACCCCGGAGCGTCACGGCAAATAACAATAAAGAGTTAAAGTGTTTCCAGTACGTTAACGTAAAGGTAACCATCAACACACAAAAAATAATATTTATTATTAAAATTGTTTTGTAAGGCTGTCAAATACTTTAGTTTATCCCTTTTCTTAACTCACACCACATGCCTCATCACTCTTGATCTACAAGTAAAGAGTATCCACTGAGGTTTCGATGTCGGCGTCAAGAATATTATATGTCATTAATAAATAGCTATATCTTCTGTTATCTCCAAACAAACTCTAACCAAAGATTACCAAGATGAAACTCTAGATTCATGACGAAAAAAAAATAGCTCTTACCTTGGATATTTAAATGGTAGTATGCACTATGTCGCCACTGTGATATGTATATAGTTGTATTTCATGCTGCAAACTATTTCTGATGCATTAGAAAAGCTTCCAAAATTGTTTAAATTGAAATATCTCCCAATTTAGTGGTCATATAAAACCACATAAATTTTATAAACTCTCCAGAAGAAAGTAAAATTGAATCGGTGAGTTCGAAAACCGTACATGTCCAAAATCAGCCTTCAGAGAAAAACAATAAAAATCTTTTAACGAGTCACGAATATGTATGGTTTTTCGCCTAGTTTCACGGGTGTAAACAGCTATACTACGTTAACGGTCAGGTATCTAGTACGGTTTTTAAGCTCAATCGGTTAAGAGACAAATTTTAAACAAAGTGCCTCTTACTTTAAAACGTCAAATTTTGGACTTGTTTGGTTTTCTAACTCACCGATTCAACTAAATAATTAAATAGTAAATAATTTTATTTGTAGATATTTATTTTAGTCCGATATCTTAAACGATATTTTGTTCATATAAAGCAACACGCCGATTTCGACAAGAATTATGATCAACTGTGTTTTTATGAATAAATTGTTACTATATATTTTTACCTTATTTGTAACTTAGTCGTTGACGGAAAAGAGACTGGTGCCGACCATCTGGATCGATTGCCATAAGCATACAAAATGTCTAAATGCGTAAGTGTATTAAAATCATCTAATGACAACATACCACCTAAATAATTATCAGCCACCTATGAAATATATTTAAAATCCTATCAAATTCCTCTAAATCCGTTTAAATACATTTAAATCCTTTTAAATTCATTTTAATTCATTTTAATCCATTTTAATCCATTTTAATCCATTTTAATCCATTTTAATCCATTTTAATCCATTTTAATCCATTTTAATCCATTTTAATTCATTTTAATCAATTTTAATCCATTTTAATCCATTTTTAATCCATTTTTTATCCATTTTAATCCATTTTATTCCATTTTAATCCATTTTAATCCATTTTAATCCATTTTAATCCATTTTAATCCATTTTAATCCATTTTAATCAATTTTAATCCATTTTTATCAATTTTAATCCATTTAAATTCATTTTAATCCATTTAAATCCATTTCAATCCATTTTATTCATTTAAATTAATTTAAATACATTTAAACCACCTTAATTTCCTTTAAGTCTCTTTAAATCCCTTTAAATTCCTATAATCTGTCTCTCTCTAACTCTCTGCATCTGACTGTCCTCTTTTGGTAATTTTAATCTTTATCCTAACATTTACCGATCTATTTCTTTCATTTAACCGTAACATGTCTACAACATGTCTACAAACCAACGATTACAAATGTTCTAAATGTTTTTTTCAGTGTAGGTAAATAGGGTACATTACATTGTCACTATTATACATTCTTTGCAGCCATTTCGTTACTTTTCCAAGCTGGATTTCTATGCTCTAATTGTTTTTATCTCAGAAAACCACTCTTGTAATTGATACACCAACTAAATTACATTCTTTTATCCTCTTTTATCTCTAATGAATGATACCGGAATGCGGGTTTGGTTTATGAATTATACAAAAAAATCTTTGTTTTGAAACCGTCATAATTTAAAGCAAGAAGAACATGTATTTATAGAATAATAAATGTATATCTCTTTATTGAAACAATACCTCTAACCCAGGCATTGCAGCTATATCTTTTATACGAATAAAAGATCTAGACATTTTAGACAATTAGGTTTTAAATGCAAGCTTAGGTATAGCTATTAATAGCCAAATTGATAAAAAGACGTAAACCGTTTGTATATTTACAATACAATGTTCAAAATTTCATGTTTGACGTCAGAGAATAAAATCTGTTATTGTTTTTTTTTTTTAATAACATGTTTTACTTTCCATTGTCCAAGTTATTCCAGAAAAATAATATTATATAGAGTCCGTCGGGAAGCTCGGTCTAGGATGCAGAAAAAAAAATCGAGGTATAACCAAATGGGACCTCCACCATTTGAAAAAGCATGCTTTTTTACATTGAAAATGGAAATTGACGACTCTCTCCATTGGTCGAGACTAAATATATAGAAAAAAAAAAAAAAACAGAAAAAAAGGTGTTTTTTTTGTCAACTAGCGTAGTTTAAAAAAAAATTAAATAGCTTTTTGCATAAGAAAGTTATGACAAGGTGGATTAAAAAAATATTGTCGATTTGTTAGTTTTTTTTTTAAATAGTACTATTTTTTAATGTAGTTTACAACATTTTTATAAGAACAAATACATTAAAAGAAAGAAAATTGAATAAGGAATATAACAAAATATTATTTTTCTAACTTCTTTAGTAAAATATTCACGAGTGTTCAATGTTGACAAAAAAAACACCTTTTTTTTTGTTTTTTTTTTTTTCTATATATTTAGTTTTGACCAATGAAGAGAGTCGTCAATTTCCATTTTCAGTGCAAAAAAGCATGTTTTTTCAAATAGTGAAGGTCCCATTTGGTTATACCTCGGTTTTTTTTCTGCGTCCTAGACCGGGCTTCCCGACATAGGTACTAATAATAATATACCTAAAAAAATTTACAATTACAAATAATTACAAATAAACCATCAAACAATAAACAATCGTAATCCACAAAAGTGGTTTAGAACCACTTGATTTGTGGCTTTACAATTGAAATAATTTTATTCTACTCAGCTATCATAACTCAAGTATAAGACATAATTGAGGCCTGCCTTTCCAAAACGTTGTAAGTGTCATTTTTAAAATTTTAGAAGGAGAAGCAAAAAACTGATTTTTTCAGCTAGCTGTAATAATATTGCAATTTCCTACAATGAAGTTGGAGTTTATCTTATGTTTAATGTTTATCAAGGATGAAATCGGGTGACCACGTATCGATAACTCAATAAAAAAAATCTAAAATCGCTTAGTTCTAAAACGTTGTAAGTCCTAACCTACGTTGCAAGTCAAAACGTTGTAAGTACAAAGAAAAACGCAGGTCTTATCTGATGTAATGTCATAATAAAACACTATTATTTTATAGAATAACATTGTAACTTTATTAATACACGTTTGTTACAACAAAAAACGAATATGTCGAACAATACTCAGATGGAATCTAGCCCAGAAGCTGTGGATAGTATTTCTTTGCTTCATTTGTGAGGTAAGGAAGCATGGCTCTAATATGGGCTTCTTTTTCTTCTGAAATACCATGATTCGTAGGCTGTTCATTAGTTTTTGTAGAAAACTGTAAGGCTCCATGCGACTTCCAGACTTCAGCTGTTCCAAACTGATCTCTCGACAATCTTATTTGCGCAGCTTCACTTATTTTAAATTTTGTCGTATTAAGGTTCTTTGCTACAGACCTCCAGTTGTGAAAACCATCAAAAACGGCTACGACGAACAGATTTTTCTGTTTAGCTGTTGCAATCGTACGAACAACATCCTTAGGTACCATACACTTATACCTTTTTTTTTTCTTTTCAATAATACCAAAGTCTCTGTCACAGGCCAAGAATGTGTGTCCTTTTACAGGAAACTTGTGTATGATTACGGTAAAAATTCCTTTTGCCAACAATGTCAAATACATGGATAAAACTTTCTGGTTCTTTTTTTTGCGCCCCGCAGTTATCCGACCAAACTATTAGTTTTTTCTTATTCGTGGTAATTTGTTTTGTTAAGTAGCTATAAACACAATGCGCTACTTCCAAAGATCCACGTTCGCCAACAGTCTCAGGCCAAACGCACATGAA